GGGGTGGGGGTGCTCTGGTCGTCCTTGACAGCCCCCTCTGTCTCGTCGTCTGCCGTCTCGTGTTGTGTCTGCCGCTCCTCCTCTCCCTCTCCCTCTCCCCTTGCAGACGATGCTGACCCAGGGGTGTGTGGGTCGTGGATGGCCGGTAGGGGCGGGGGCATGCCAGTGCCGTTGCTGGCCCTCGGTGTGGTGGTGAGCACGGGTGACTGTGTGTCGCTGCCGTCGGTGTAGATGCCCTTGCGCCGGCTGTTCCAGGCCTGCCAGGTGAGGGCCTGGTTGGTCCCCACCTTGACGGGCGGGAAGTGGGGGTGCGGCGGGCCAAGCACCGTGTACCGGTTGAACCGGTGAAACCCCGGCTCCTCCTCACTCGGCACTACCATACTGTCGCCCTGCTCGAAGCCCGCCGACACACTGGACCCGACTGCGTCGCTCGCGGTGGTCCGGAGGGCCCGCAGCTGGTGCATGAAGGTGGGCTCGCTGTTGCACCGCGGCAGCACTCGCAGCCGGGGGTCCTGCACACCGTCCTCCGAGTCGGTAGAGTCGCGATGATAATACTCTCGCGGCAAGGGCAGGATTTCGCTGAGTGGCCTATCTTCCTCCTCCTCCTCTCCCTCTGCGTCGCCCCCATCATGACTGCTGCCCACTGTCGCACCAGCCGAGCGGGCCGATCGGGCGCTCTCATTGCCGACGGGCGAGCGGCCGTTCTTCTCGTCAGGTGGGGTGTTGATTGGGTGGTGGATGGCGTCTGCAGTGAGGTTGATGACGGTGTCGTCATGCTCCATGTCGTGGTCGTGGTCCCAGAGGGGGTGGCGGCCGTTGTTGTCATGGTGGAGCAGGCCGTCTGGTGTGGGCGTGTCGTAGAGGGTGTGCTCGTCGTGGGTGAGGTCCAGGGGATGGGGACCGGAGCTGTGGTGGGTCAGCGCCTCGATCTGATTCACATAGATAGCCATGGAGGGAGTGGGTGTGGTGTGTGGTGTGTGGTGTGCGGATCTGATTCTAGTTTTGGGTTGGTGCTCACGGCGAGTCTGAGCTCGGCGATTTGTCTCTGGAGGTCCTGGTCGGCCTCATGGCGGATGAGCTTCTCCTTGTCAAACGTTGAAGACATCATCGTCTGATCAACCATCCACACAACACAACACAACACAACACAAGACAACAAACCCAACGTATACGGAGACCAGTCTCTCTCTCTCTTCAATAAGTGTTAATGTGTGTGGGTGACCTGTTCTCTCCTGAGGTTGTCCTCGACCACCCTGCTCTGCTCGAGGGCCTGCCGCAGCACGCACTGCTCGCGCTTGATGCCCTCGACGTCAAGGCTGCTGACAACGGTCGTGGCTGTGCCTGTGGGGCCACTGCTGACATTGGCATTATTGTCGCCGCCCCCGCCTCCTTCTGCCTGGTGCTTGACGCCCTTGACCTCCTCGCGCAACATGCCTACCTCATCCGTCAGCTTCTGCAACCAGCCAGCCATCCAGCCATCAACACATACACACGCCAAACAAACACAGAGAGAATGACACACGTAAAGAGAGAGGTGGGTTGGGTGCACTGCACACGGGACTGACTGACTGACTGACCTGCAGCAGGACGCTCTCGCGTTTGCCGGCAGCCTCAGGGGCCTCGGGGTCAGTCTGGTGTGCGTCGAGCAGTTGCTGGTGGTGCTCCTGGTTGGCCTTGAGGTCGTTGATCTGCCGCAGACACTCCTGGATGGACGCCAGCCAGGGGGCCGTCTCGGGGTCCTTCGGGGTGCTGCTCGCCATAGTCGCCGACTGCTGAAGCTCACCAATCTGACGCCCATGGTTGGTCTGGACCTCCTTCAGCTGACATCAATCAGATCAGCCAACACATGAGAGAGAATTGTGCATTTGTGTGTCCGTGTCCGGTGAGAGAGAGAGAGAGAGAGAGAGAGAGGGGAACAGACCGACCGACCGACCGACAGACAGACAGACGGACGTACCTCCAGGAGTGTGGCGAGCAGGGCTTTGTGTCGTGCCTCTTCGCCCTCCTTGTCCCTGTCTTTGCTGTGACCCCTGATGTCGTCGATGAGCCGCTCCAGCCCCTGCACACGCACGCGGATGTCCTCACGGATGCTCTTGTCGAACTCCATCCGCTCCTCGGCCGACGACGCACGCATCGCCTGCACACATGCACACATGCACACACATACACACACATCCCATCTGATCTGGGTGGGTGTGGGGATTGAAGGGGGCATGGGGCCGGGGCGGGGCCCACCTCAGCTTTGATGAGTGACGACTGGACGTCGTTCTGCAGGGTCTCGAGGGAGGCGCGCATGGACACGCCCTCTATCCTGCCCTCCAAAGCGGTGATCTGCGCTTGCAGAGACGCACGCTCGGACGACTCCGTCTGTAATGTAAACACGCACACACACACACACACACACAGTGGTTGTGGGTGTCGCATTGTGTTGTGTGCGGTGAGCTGACCTTGTGTATGTCCTCCTTGAACCGCTGGAGCGCGCCAGTGGCCTCGCGCATCTCATCCACATGCTTCCTCACCTCCAGCACCACATCCTCATCCACAGCCCCGCCATCAGCAGCAGAAGAAGCAGCGGCAGAAGCCGCCCTCATCTGCTCGAGGCTCTCTATCTTGAGCTCGACAGCACTCACCGCCTGGCGTATCCGCTGCAGCTCCCCGCTCTTGCTCTGCTGGTACTGCTGCTGGCCCTCGATCTGCTGCGTCATGGCAGCCTTGGTCTCCTTGACGAACGACTCATACGTCGACTTGAGACCCTCCAGGCTCTTCCACAGCCGCGTGAGCTCCTTCTTCTGCTCATCGGCGGACCGCTGGGTGGTCTGCAGGGTCAGCTGCATCGACGGCAGGGCCCGCCGCAGCTCCTCGCGGCTCTGCTCGGCCAGCTTGCGGATGGCCGTCGACTCCTTGTGCGAGGCGTCCATCCGCTGCTCCAGTGTGCGGAGCTTCCCCTGGTGCTCGCCGAGACGACGGGCGAGAGACGCCAGCTCCATCCGCTGACAGGGAGAGGGAGGGGGGAGTGGATACAGATCATGTGGGTGGGTGGCTCTGTCCGTCGTGCCTGCTTACCTTTTTCATTTCGAGCTCTCCCTCGCTGAGTGACCGTTTGCGGGCGGCCTGTTGCTCCAGCTGCTGCTCGCGGGTGATGGCGAGCTGCTGCAGGTGCTCCCCGATGTCGAGTTGCTGTTGCTTGAGCGCCTGGATGGCCTCCTGGGTCTCGTGCAGCACCTGGCTGCAGGCCTCGAAGTCGTGTCTGTGCAGGTCGTGGAAGTTGTGGAACTGCTGCTGCACCTCCTGCTCGAACGCCTGGCGGGACTCCTCGAAGTGCTGGTGCTGCACGTGCGGAGTCACGAAACACACACACACATGCATGTGGATACCTGTAAGCAGGGATCAGCGTGTTTGCGGCCTCACTTCACTCACTTGTTCCAGGAAGTTCCTATCGATGGATGCCGTGGTTTCCAGCAGCTGGGTATCCAATGTGCCCACCTGTGATGTGAGCTCAGGCAAGGCAGACGCAATGAGAGTGTGGGCTTGGCCTGGTGTGTTTGCGGCTGACCTTTTCGTAGATGGATGTGGTGAACTTGTCGGCCTCCATTCGTTCCTGCTTGAGGTCTTCAAGCTCCTCGGACGCCTTACAGACAGACAGACAGACAGACATACGCAGACAGACAGAGTGAGTCACCTGTGCGCTCCGCTGTGTGTGTTTGTGTGTGCGGGCATGCGTATGTACATCCTTGAGTCGTGTGTTGAGCCTGGCTGCCTGCAGCTGGTGGTCCTCCTCCACCCTGGCCAGCCTCTCACGCAGACCCGACACACTCTTGCCCTGCTCTGTCAGCTGCATATACGCCTGCAGGATGTCACGTCAGTCACACAACACACAGACAGACAAACAGACAGACAGACAGACAGACAGGTGTATGCAGGTCAGGTGAATGGTTTACCCACTACTTAGACTGTCAGATGCCCACCCCACCTTGTCGATGTCCTTTTGGACTTTCCTGAGCTGGTTTTCCGACACTTTGGCCGCCTTGTGCTGCTCGTCGTGATGAACCACAGACACGTCATGGCCTGCACACAGACAAATGACACACACATGGGGTGTGCGCACCAAGTGAACCGATTTCATCCCCCCTCCTACCTGCCGTGTATCCCTCATGGCCGCACTGGAGGATGTCTGAGGGAGGCTCCGCGGCGATCAAAATGGGAGGCAACTTGACGTCTGAACACACACACGGAGGGTGTGATGGGGCATTTGTCTGTGACACACCCGCTGTCTTACCGAAGTCGTCATACACCCAGGAATCGCCCTCTGGCACATGGAGGATCCGATTGCCTGTTGAGGGACAACACACCAAAGATCCACCCCGTCCCCGACCTGCCAGCCACAATCCGCCCGACTTACCTCCGAAGCTCTCCCACGTGACGTCGCCTCCCTGTTTGGAAATCACGTACTTGTACTCCAGGTCTTGGGCAGCTGGCAGTGGCACCTCAATCGTGGTCCACAACGGGTAACTCTGCAATAGCAGCCACACACACGCGCACGCGCAGAATCAACACCCTGACGAATCCGGTGCCCATTCTTTGTGTGTTGACCTGGGCGTCGGTGGTGAGTACGACCCGCTGGTCGACGTTCCACCTGCCGAGGCCATTGTGGCTGCCCAGGAGACACAGCTGGTCCCCCAGGTTGGTCTTGTTGCACTTGCACTGGAACTTGATACGAGCAAGCGCCATCCTCACATCACTGCCAGGGGCACCAGGGGACCGCTATACGCGACGATAGTGGCAGTGAGGGGCGGCGCTGCGCTGAGGCACAGCATAAAGAAGGAGAAGAAAGAAGAGAGAGGCGCGCCTCCGTAGGCGCGTCAGACCCGATGGGAAGCAGGCGTGGCTGTGAAACCACCAAGATCTCCGGCCCCTCTTCCCGTTCGCACGCTCAGCTCGCACACCTTGAGCTCGCACGGGGAGAAAGGAGCGGGGCCGGTTCGGGGAGGCTTTCCGGAGGAGGAGGCAGTCAGTTGGACGACAAACCCGACGAAAACTGCGAGATCGAATCATCCGGCGAGGCTCCAGATCTGTCAGCACCCGCAACAGCAGCAGATCTGCCCATGACGAGCTTCGTGCGTCTGAATGTTGGTGGCCGTGAGTTCAGTGTGGCGATATCGACGTTGTTACGCCACCCCGACACGCTGCTGGGCCAGCTGGTGACCAACCAGTCGACGGCCGAATATCAGCAGGTGCAGCAGGGCCAGCCCGTCTTCATCGACGCCGACCCCTCGCTCTTCCCCTATGTCATCGACTACTACCGACACGGCACGCCACTCTTCATCGATGGCAACACCGACACGCGCAGGCTGATGCGCGAGATGCGGTACTTCGGCCTTAACATCAGCGATAGCGAGACGGATCTGCAGCGCCCACCGCCATCAGAGGAGCAACGAGCGTCGCGAAGGGACGAGGTGATGCGGCGGGTGGCCGTCAAGATGGCGCGCACGTTGCTGCTGTTGGCGAAATTTCCTGTGAACGGCGGCAGCACTTGCGGTGAGATCGGAATGACACGTGTCAAATCAATGCTCGACGACATCTGTGATTGGGTGGGCCCTGAGGCGGCGGAGATCAAACGCTTCTCAAGTAGTGGAAATGAGATTCTCATGCTGCTTGGCGAGGTCTGGAACGAGATGCAGATCTCGTTGCAGGGGAGTGGCCGACCATTCTATTGCAGTCTAGAGCGGGTCCAGGAGGGAGGTTTGACGAAGCTTGCCTTCACGATCGACAGGGTACGCACGATGGAGCGTATGTATGTATGGATGAATGGGTGAATGGGTTATTTTCTGTGTGGTGTGCTTTTCAGATTTGATGTGCTGCCTGCCTGCCTGGACTCATAGCTAGCTAGCTAGCTGTCTGTCTGTCTGTCTACCGTGTTGAATCACTCAGTCTTTTTTGGCATATTCGGGAGGACGCAATGCACGTACACTCACATACGTATACATATGACACGGATATGACTCATGCCTGCCCATGTCTGTGTCTGTGTGTCTGTTTGCTCACTGACTGTGTCTCACTCATCTTCACTGCTGTGACTCTCACACACTGACTGATTCACTGTCCATCCAGCCGTCCATCGATGAGTGAGTGAGTGAGTATGATGCGTCAACGGTCGTCCCGCTCGCCACACCCGGCCGCTGCTGCTGCTGCTGCTGCCGGCGGTGGGCAGAGGAAGCGGCAAAGACAGACACACACAGACACTGACAACACACACGACCACATTGCCACACACGACGATGACAGCGACAGAGACACATTCATCCGAAGAGAAGTCGTCGGTACCATACGCACACAGACAGACAGCCAGGGGGAAACAATTGACTGTCCCCACATGTCTCCCTCTCTCTGTGTCTGTCCGTGTCTGTGTGTGTGTTGTTGCAACCAGGTGAGGGCACGTACGGTGTGGTGTATCGGGCACAGGAGCGGGGCACCAACAAGACCGTGGCACTCAAGAAGATCAGGACAGACCAACACGACGAGGGCGTACCAGGTCAGTGCCTGAGTGGAGGGGTGACGGACAGAGACACACATAGGTGGATGGATGGCTGGCCTTATGTGTGTATGTGTTTAACTGTGTAGGG